TGATAAAATATTAAGGCAAAATAGGGTAAAAATTATGATTACCCGGTAATCTAACATTAACACACCCTGGGAAGGTAATTGATTACCCACAATATTACCAATAGGAACCACTATTTGCAATTAAATATAATACATTTGAATATTATATTACTTGACAACCAAACGAGGGAATCTGAAAATTAAACAAAGATTACAGGATTTATCTTATTCACCCCGAACCAAACGCCCCTTAAAATTTAATTTGGAAAATTAGGGTTAAAAGTTAATAGGATTAGGGGCACAATCATTGCCCTAGAATCTCCAAAAGTCTATAATGAAAAATTAAGTAGCCATGCTGATCATCAATGAATTGCTTCAAGAATTCAACTTCGGCTGTGAATCATAACCACATAAGGCCACATTACCCCCATTATCAAGATTTATAGAAAGAGCGCAGTTAAATATACACGTTTAGCTTTATACAAATAAGAGTGTAAAGAAAAAAAAAAAACACCAAAGTAGAAGGTAAAATTTTTTGTGCATGCACAGTATACCCAATCCAATCTAATTAAGAGAGACAGACCAATAATATCGTCCAACTTTTGGTAAATTTCTTTCATTATAGTTATTTTGTACGAGCATGATGATGATGGGTGCAGTACTTAAGAGAGAATGTTAAGTTGTATGAACTAAACAGTAAATCCTCTCCTTTAAACCACAATAATGAAGTTTTCTGTTACTTCCATGGAATCCGCGATATAAACAATGTAGAGTTCATCTCTTTCCTTTACACCCCAGAAAACCTAGTAAAGCTTTAGTGAGCTGCAATAGTAGTCGTCAATTACTGTTCCTCTTTACTTGTATTTTTCTTCTGTCGCTCTCTGCTCATCTTCTAAGTCTCTTAACGTCTTGTTGGTTTTTTTTTTTTTTTTCTTTTTTGCAGCACATGCAAGACATGGATCCTCAAGCTCCTAAACCTCAGATCCCAAATGCTAAGCTCCTCAAAAGCTTATTTTTTAAGGGGAAATGAAGGTTTGGCTTCCATGGTGGAGATGGATATAGATCTTTCGTTCCTGAAAAGAACGCTAACTTTGTCACTAGGTCTCAACAGTAAATAGATTTAAGAATATTAATGAACCGATGTTTTTTTTTTGTCCATCTCTTCTTACGAACATCCCTACGACATGATTTCAGAAAACATTATCTCCCGGTGAATTGTTATGGGTGCGGTATACACTTTGATCGTCGACCCGCTACTGAAGACAAGATACCGGCGGTCTCAACAAACTTTTACTTCTACAATGAGAAGGTTTACTGTGGAGCTTTGCCTGAGACAATTCAAATAGACATGGAAATACCCTCCCTTGCACTAAAGAGTTACAAGGACAGTGCTTGTACCAACGCAGCATCCGCAACGACTCCAAGGAAGAGCAATCCAAGAACTCAAGCTCCAGACGAAGACTAAGAAAATTGCACGTCTTTCTGCACTGTGATAATCTTCACTCTCTTCAGCCACTATAAGCGTAAGGTAGAAGAAGACTTCACAAAATAGCCTACATGCAAGATATTTGGTGAAAATGTAGGTTTTTGTAAGAAAGCGAGTAATTAATATGTTTTCTAAGTACTGCAACAGCTGCCTCTGTGTTCTTGTGTTCGTTTCACCATCTCTCCTTGAATCGTGAACTTCATTATATCTGAGGTATGATCGAGTGAAAAGGAGGAAAAGCAGAAGGAACTCATTTTCTCAATCATATATAAAAATAAACTGCAATTTTCTCAACATCAAGATTTTAAAAGCATCAACTGAAAACTATTCAGTTCCCATTTAAGAAAAATTAATTAACCCTTGTTATTTATTAACTACCTTTTTGGAGTGGGTGTATTTTAAATAGGTAATGGAGTTGTTCATATATAAGTTCACTAGATCAAATCAGAAAAGAAAGGTAGCTGCAGGCTACGGCTGTAGTTAATGATGATTCCATATGATCATAGAAGAACCCCACCAAAATCGAGGTATGAATGATTAAACAGCAAAATAGTAAGATGATAAAAAGCAGTTTCGGTAATCCAGGCCATATTTATAGTTGTTTAAATATTAACAAGGCAAATATTGTTTGTTGTTTGGGTTAAGATCACCAGAATGTCAAGACCTAAAAGAGCCCTTAGATCCGTTAGGTAGAGAAGCATGATAGCATCGGTAATAGACGCAAGAAATACAGCAGAGAAGAGGACGAAGATCAGTGGTCGATGCACTTCGATCATCGGTTTTGGTAATAGGGTCCATTTCAATCAGGTTAAATTAAGCAATACTAAATTTTCTGTTATCTAAACTATAGTTCATAATTGTCTCTGTTATCTAACATGATATTCTATTGTCCGCTTATTAACTATATACAGTTCGTAACTATCATGTCAAATTTATGAAGAAAATTATAATATAATAGTTGAATTATCATATTGAAAGAGAATTATTAGTTATAGTATTATTTTTACAAATTTCTCTTATCTTCGTCACCTTTGTCACCTTTTTATGTAACATTTTAAATTATATGCTCTACTTTTTTTTTTTTTTTATGTTTCGATAATTATAAGTAGTTTAACTAATCTTTAAAATTTCAAGTGATAGTAAGATAAATCTTTTTAATGATCACTCTTATATCAATCTAAATAGATCGAATTATTATCAAGAATCTTAGTTATCGGGGACAACTGTAGAGTTAATTACCCCAACTTGTTGCCCATCCATCTCCTTGTGTATTTACATTATTTCTCATTCTCTTATCTCCATGCCAAATCAATTTCAGCCACATATATGAAATTATTTGAGTTCTTGATTATGTACGTATGTGATATTTCATCATAATAACCCTATCAACTGTCACTTTGAAGTTTAATTTTGGAAAGAAAAGACATATCAGTGAAGGGTTTGGTTAGAACTGAATAGTTGGGGAGAATTTAGTTGGAATAGAAAACTAGTGGCTGATTAATTGGGTTAGGGATACAGTAATAGGATTTAAAAGAAGAAATTGTACAAATGGTGTCATGATCAGGAGTGAGGCTGTGAAGTTCGTGCCAAAATCAAATGGCATGCCTGTGCTTGCTTTTGGCGATTTGTTCTTAAGCAAGTAAAAAGAAGGAGATGGACACTGTTGTTGAACTGGACATTCTAGCTAAGTTCTCCTTCGTGTACCTTCGCTTTGGAAACCCTTTTGTGGTTGTGGCTATGACCTTCAAAACTTAATATCGATCTCGTGACTTATACGTCATCACTGTAAAACCCTCATTGCGTTTCATCACATGTTTCCATGGAGCTCACCTTCATCCACTGTTCCATTCATACAAATATTTGTCACTGTTATTACTCCAATTCGGTCCTTCAAATTAATTAACTAAAGTAGGAGAGACCAAGAGAGATGATTCCCAGTGAACAAAATGAAGTGACGGTGCACCTTCTCATTGCGCCAACCGCTCAAGATGGCAGCTTGATTGCAGCACTAAGATACATCCTCATCTGAATAATCTCTTGCAAAGTCTGAGAAATCCCAAAATTAGATGGAAGAGTTGGGTTTAGCAATATTCAGTGTTAGGTGTAGTCGGAAAGACTTTACTGTTAAACTTTGAAATAATTTTTCTTTTCAAATTTCAGTTGGCACCATTTGATGCCATGAATCAACCGGCTACAATGGCAGACGGTCATGAAAAATAAGAGGGAAGGATGGAGGTCAAGTATAAAGTTAGGATCATCCAATCCTTTTTATTATAATAATATTTAATTACAATTCTGTCTTATGCTATTTGGTGGGTCTTGTTAGCATCCTTTTTTCGTTATTTTGAAAGAGAAACAACATTACCCACCCAAGTTTGGCATCTCTGTTCCCACCCATGGTTATAAATTTCGATTTCAACCCTTAAATTAACACATATTAGTGATTTTTTGGATTCTGACACACTATAAGATGTTATTATCAAACTGTCCTTGGCCTTTTACTTTTGATTCAAATAACCCCCACATCTCAAATTCTCTCTAGCCTCTTTCCCACCTCTACCATTACTTGCTAGGAGTCCGGTCAAGCAAAAAATCCGCTGGGTCGACACCGTTGGACTCTCCTAACACAACCATCATATCTCATTATCTCTTCACAAAACCCTAACTTTTCACTTGAGTGCACCAGCAATCATGGCCATCCTCCTCACTGTCTACCCATGCATATGTCGGTTTTTGGACTCCATTGCCTGTTGTTGTGTTTGTTTGTTGTCTATCACTTTGTTGTTCTGGTCGTCGGTCTCCCCCTGCATCCACACCCCCAGTCACTCCTCACTCAACCAACACCATACTTTACCTTCCAACTCAAAAACACAACTCCACAAACCATTACAACCCCCAGTTGCCTAACCCCAACTAATGCTCCCCCAAACCAATCGCCTCTTGGGTTATGTGGTTGGATGACTGTGGTGGTGGTGGTTTGGAATGGGGGCTCATGGGAGTTAACATTTTCATTTCAGAATCAATATAAAAATGACAATTTTACCTTTAACTGTTATATTAATCAATTTCTTATTTAAGGGGGAATATGAAATTTATGAAACCAGGTGGGAACCAGAGATCGTCAAACCTTGGTGCAGTAAAATTTTAAGCATATTACAGGGTGACTTATGTAATTTCACATCATCACAAATTATAATTTGCAATTCACCACCGTAAAAAACTCTGGCCCATGCAGGTCTGAACCTGCGACCTTCGCGTTATTAGCACGACGCTCTAACCAACTGAGCTAATAGGCCGATTATTTTTCAAAATGTTTTAAAATATATTGATATAATTTTGATTTGATCATACTTACAAATTTTATTCTCCTAAAGAAGGTAATTTTAGAAACACCCACAATTTTTCTGAAATTGGAATGCGCTTTAAATTTGTTTTACTCTAGAGGTGAATAGTAAATCCCGAGAACTAACCGAATTGGTTGTTTGTTGAAAGAATACACCGCGCTGACGATTTTATGGTGACCGAGAAATTATCCATGGCGACGACAGAAGATTACGAGGCATGTGTTCTGTCTGTTGCGATTGTGAAGTATCTTACTAATAGATATGCTGATTCGTTAAATTCAATTAATTACCTTATATTTTCTTTTAATTATTGGGTTTAATTCTGGGGTGTTCATAGATGATAATGATAATATGGATTAGGGATTGTTGAATTTAATCGGTCTTTTGATAATTCTGTTTCACAATTATCAATTTAATTATATTCAACCCTAAACTTAGTTGTTTTTATATTAGTCAGCTATTTTATGTATTTATGAGGGCGTAATTTGCTTGTAGATGAAGAGAAAAACAAGCTGCGCTGATGTACTATTCCATATTCAAAGTTTGATGGCTTGTATTGGGAATCAAGCTCGAACTTGTGACTTGAGATTGCATTTGATGAAGGTATATCTAATTTTTTTGTATAATTTGGGTATAATGTTTTAATTTGATTGGGGAATGACCTTCTCTTACACTTGCCCAATTAAGCAATGTGATTGACATGATATTTGTGGTTCATTTGTTCAGGAGATTCTGGGTTGCCAACTACTCTGAAGAGAGATCACCTTCTAAGGAACAGCTTCTCCTGATGCGATGGGTGAGTCTTCAAGCCAGGCACAGGTAAGTGGAAAACACCCGACAGTTTTCGGCTACAATAGTTTAAAGATGAGTTGTGTTAGTTGTTATTTGAGGGGTTTCCTTTCAATAATTATTTTTTTTTTTTTTTTTTTTGGTAGTACCGAATATTCTTTTTATATTGTGGAACATAAAATGTATCCAGTATTGGCGATTTGTAAATCAATTTTTTGCAATCAATTATAGAGTGATTTAGACTCCATGACTTTTGTTTCTAAATTTCTAGTGGACAGAATCCCCAAGAAACTTTAATGCACACACGAATTTGTTTATATATTTATTGTGACGTGTGTGATGAAGGGTTTTTTTGTTATTGCAGATCTTCTTATTCTTGTTGAACCTGATCACACTCTAGGCTATTGAACTTAAAGTAGGTTAGTCATGGATTATGTGAGATCTTTAAGCATTAAGATAAGATTTTCCTCTTGAAGAATGTATGAACTATAATCAACAAATGTAACTGTTTGACTAGCTAAACAGTGGTTATTGCGCCTACTAGTCATTAAAGTAAAATAAGGTGCATATAACAAAAGGCTAAAGTAGCAGAAACACCTCACAGAATGCTTTTGTTCGTATGTGACTGCAAAACTTTTTTGTTTTGGTTCCTAGTTGAGCTACATGACTAGGTGGTTTGTCAATGAAATGAATTGGGATGCTCACTTTTCTCCTCTTATTGTTATCCACATCTCTGGTTGAAAGTTTTGTTATGCCATACAAAGAGGAGAAAGATTACTATATTCAATAATTAACAATATGGTGTCAATAAGAAAAGAAGAAGAAATTTATTATCTTTTCAGGATTAGGCAAATATATTTCCACTTTTTGTTGAACAATAGATACATATGAATTACAGAGGGAATTTACCAATAGTATCTTTAATTAATTTATGTTGTGTTTGTGGTGTGCCCTTCAAATTCAAAATCTGATAACTTCAAGCTTCTGTAATTTAAACATCAATCTCAAGCCCGAGAACAATTGCAATTGCATCTATTGCGCTATTGCAGCGCCACTCTTTATCTCTTTCAGCTTGAAGCAATTAAGAGCATGGGACTTCTCTTTCTTTGTTTACAAGTTGCAGCGGGGGTTTAGGTGGTTGTTGACAGGGCTAGTTCTGTGAGCTGAAGATTCGTTCTAGACTCTTTTCTCTTCTGCATTGACTGGTTATTGCACCTAAATCTTTAGTACCATTAAACAATTGCTTCTGGATTTTTTGGTGAGTTGAGGGGTCAATACTTCACTTGCATAGCTTCATCGTTATAGTAGTTATTGATTTGATATCTGTTCTTCTGGAAAACCTCTTGCTAAAACAGACCAATTTAACAAGAACACAAAAAAAATCCTGTTTGAGTTCTTTATCGAATTAAATAATGAGAATCAATAAAAACTTTGTTTGTGCTTACCTGTTACCAACAATAGTGAGTAGGTTAAACTTAAAATAATTTCATTCTTCTTCATTGAAATTACCACACTTGGTATCAGGGCATATCTGGTCGCTCTACAGTAGTGGAACTCTTGCCACAAGAAAGAAGATCAGCTGCTTTGGGACAGCTGTAGCAGATTACTACGTGAGCTTGAATGTAACTGAAAAGTTCTTCACTGACCAGTCACCATGTTGGTGGGTGACCCTGCTTACAACGAACACGAGACATGGTAGTACCAAAAAAACTAGCAACAAGTAATGGTGTGTTCACTAGTTTTCATTGAATTAGATACTCGTGATATAAACTGCTTGAGTCTTAGAATATCTTGGAAATGTGTATATTCATTATGTGTGGGGAAACTATCTTGTTATCTTCTTTTTCTTTCTTTTTTAAATTGTTTCTGCTAACTACCAAACTTTGGTGTTTTTGTGAGAGGGTGTGGGATCATGTTTTTTTCATAATCGTATATGCACATAATCATTTATACATCCTGCATAAATTGAGGGTTATGGAAGTTTTACAGAAGTGCTTCAAAATATTAGTCTGTAAAATTTTGAAGATACTTATTGATACTAGGCATGCAATGTAGAAAAGATTTGAACAAGATTTTAGTTTACTGTCCTCTTGCATTTTGAGTTAGATACTCTTTCCACCACACATCAAGTTCTTGTAAAATAATATTATCTGGTTAATATGAGTTAATGTGGTGTTTATCCACTAATTCACATGTATGATTTTCATATCTTTAATGGCAGCATTGAGTAACATATTTTATCAAACTTCAAGATTTTGTAATGTAGTATTCTTTAATGGGGTAAGACAATGGAAGAGCAGGAAGCAGTACTTTAGAGAAGCCATTGCTAACTAAACAAAAAACTCTTATCCTATGTTTGAAGTTATCCGTATTTCTTTTCTTTTTGGATGCTCTTCTATTTACATAGATAGAGACCGGATTTCAACTTAAATTTTCACAGAATTATTAACACTAATTTTTAAATTAATGTTTTTATTAGTAACTGTAATAATACACAAATCAAAATTCAGTTCTTTATTGTAATTTTTATTATTAATAAACCGATCAAGTTTAATATTAAATCGGCATGTAGTATTTGCGTTTCTTTTTTTTTTTTTCTTGGGCTGAGTCAGTTTGTGTATATCTCAATAATCTTCAGAGTCCTAAAGTTAATAGTCGGGTAATTTTCTAATGGTCATTTCTATTAGAAGTCACGAGGATCGACTCAAGATTTTTTCAGTAATACATATAAGAGTTCTATTTGACCACTTGATTTGTGCTTACAAAAATTTCTTTATTCTATAAAAAAAAAAAATTATTGATAATTTTTTTTTATTATTATCAAATGGGGTGTTAAGAAGTAATTGAGTGTATTTAATCATGTCTTTGAATAATTCTCTAGTCGGGATCTCTTGATATAATTTTATTATGATCAGTGCATATATATACTATGGATCTGAGTTGTAAATATCATTTTAATTCAATGTGAAAATATATTGGTGATATGTTTGGTCGTGATAAATATGTATCAGAATGTTCTGACGAGGAGAATCAGGAGTGTGCCAAAAATCATGTTCCATTCTATCATTAGGTAAATATAAACTTTGATAGGATACAAACATCACTATAATTTACCTAAGCCTTGGGCAACATAAGCCCATGACTTAGTCATTCATTATGGGTGCCATGCCCTCTAACTTTAACGTAAGGACTAGCTTTTAACACTATTTTTTTTTTTTTGTTTTTTGTTTTTTATGATTGAATTGTATAATAATTTATGTAATCTCAACTAATCTATTTATCTTAGAATTTTAAAACATCGGTTAGGTAAGGTTTCAGGATACTTCTATTAACAACTAAGGTGAGAATTGGATTCAGACATTTTAAATAATTACTAAGAGTATTATAGTCACCCAAGTAGTTTTAACACCATTTTATGTTGTTTTACATGGAACAACACAATCTATGAGGTTACACAATTGATTTTGTGTAAATTAATGATATTTTTACTGGAAATAAATAGTTAATATAGTGAAAGTTGGAAAGGTGGTTTGATCTTGGAGGTTCACAAGATACCACTGCAATCATGAAATTATTCTCTTTTTTTTTTTTTTTTTTTTTTTATAAAGGAACAAGCTGTCTGAGTCAGTTTACCGATTAATCCTTGAGAGATTTTCTCTTTTTTATTTAGTTTCTTATTAAAACCATTTTAATATATGATGGGTTTTAAAAAATCTTATATGCAAAAGATTTCTTACTATTATCATATAATAATCATGCGGCTTGTTTAGAAATTTAACGGGTTATCGAATTGTTCATTGTATAAATTCTAGGCCCAGCTTAAAGAGAGCATCAATCTGTTCCCGGAATAGCGAAACCGGTGCTGGCTTACATTCACTACTGTATCCAAACATAGAGCATCAGTCTTACTCGGTTTCCCAACCGTTGAACGCAAAGCAAACATGGGCTCCAAAAACAAGCCGCAGAACAAAAGATATCAGCGCTCCGTACGCTCGGATCCTGAGTTCCTGGTGTTCGAGGAAGAAATCTAAGCATAAGATTCAATCTCCCATTCAAACCCCAACATGGAGTTTGAGTTTTCCTTGGTCCCTACTACGAAACAAGCAGGCCAAAAAAGAAGCTCAAAACTTCTAACTATTCTCCTATTACGAAAGAATGATGAAGAAGAAGAAGAGGAGAAGGGAGAGAGGTCCAGGGAGTGACAGTGGAAGGGAACAGGAGGAAACCTGTGACGTGGAAAAGTGGAGGTCGGAGGATGATTTGATGACAGGGATGAGAGTAGTAGTTGTGATGAAGTCCGAGTGAGGGACTGTGAGGTGACTAGTATGAGTTGTCATGATGTTATGAAGAAGTTCACAGAAAGGATTTTCATGAGGACTGTGAAGGGATGTGAACGGAGGTAAATTTTCTACCGGCTTTGCTGTGTTAATTCAGCGTCAAATATTTTGTTTGTTAAATTCTGATTCATGTTTTATACTAAATTTATCTGAACTTATTTTGTTTTGTTTGTGGAGCAGCCCAAGAATATTATACCCGAAGTATTAGAAAACGAGCAGGCTGCTCTTCTTGATATGGATTTGACACAAGTGAAGGTACGCAAACAAAAAAAAAAAAAAAAAAAAAAAAACCCTAATAATCTCTGATTATTGCAATTTTTTTTTTTTTTTTTTCTAGAAATGAATTAGTTTATGGATGATATGGCAGTTAGTTTTGGTTGGTTATTATATAGGCAGCTGATTTGTATGCGATACTGAGTTATTTCTTCCCAAAGATGGGAAAATTCGTGTGTGACCATCTATCCATCCGAGTATGGAGTCCGGCAAATGGAAGAAGAAGATGAAGTTGAGCAATTGTTGGAGTAATGAAGATGAAAATGATAACAGTGATCACATCCACGAGGATAAATTAATGTGAAGAGAAAAGGAGGCTGAGGTGATTGAAATGCTTTCCTTCTTTTCCGCATCTGTATATATTTATATAAGTAAAATCTATCTCTTCTTCAGTATTAATATTCGCTGCATGGAATGTGATTGCATGAGAACAGCTAAATACATCTACAAACTTGTGATGTAGCAGGCTTTGAAAGAGGTCCATTAGGATATTTCCTCATGTATGGAATATAATTATCCAGCTTGGATGTTGCAATAGGGGTACGTGTACGTGTAATTTTGGTAAGATATGTGTAAATATATGGCAATAACTTCTCTGTGTTCATTTTTCAGAGGATGAAATGAACTAGATCGTTCAAGGACCTTCGATCAAGTAGCAGCGATATTTTTGGAGAGGAGCTTGGGTTGAAGAGAGTACGGAGGGGGGTGAGAGGAAAGCGAAGAAGAAACAGAGCAATGCGAAAGGGGGCAGAGCTGATTTATTACTGGCCGATGACAGTGGATGGAGAATGGTAAAAGGGAAGTAATTTGAAACATGAACAAAGCAAGGGGAAATGAAAAAAGTGAATTTCACTACTCTTGATATACGCATTGCAAAAGGTATGAACAAATATAGATCAGAATCCTTGACCTCTTTATCTTTTAATTGTAAGATAATGCATTTGACAGTTTGTCCGTTGGTACAATGTAAACCTCTTAACTCACTATGTCATATATACCTTCCATTTATGAGTTTAACTGAGTTCATATATTTTGGCAAAAACTTTTTTTGTTAAGAAAACAGCTGCTTCATTAATTATATTCCTTTCAAGTTCAAACAACACTTCCAAACAGAAAAAATCCGTATTTGAGAAAGGGATGTCAATATGGACAATTTTTCTACTGGGACTATCTTCCCTTAAAAGATAGAATTTTTTATTTTTTTTATAGCCGAGGATATCCAGACTAGTTTACAGTATCTCAACTAACGCTAAGTCCTTAAAACCACCGAGTAGATAAAAGCTCCAATAATAATATAATAGCAACCGAAAGAGGGTTATCGACGTCGATGTCTGTGAGATCTACTGGAATGTCAATGTCGATAAGCATAGTTCTAGGAAGGTTGGTTGATGACTCGATTCTATGGGAGGTTTTTATCAAGTTCACAGTTTCTTGGCAAATAATTAACCAAGTCTATGTATGTGAGAACTTAAAGATAGTTAAGCTTGTTAAAGTTTCAAATAGTGGTACATTGGGTTGTTTACTGAAACTTATAATAGATTTAACAGATTTTACTCTATTTTACTCAATATTTTCCAGGTGTAGCACATATAAAGGCTGTCTTTTATCGGATGGGTCTATCTGACAAGGACATTGTTGCACTGTCCGGTGGCCACACATTGGTAACATTTTGCCCTGATTCCACTTTGCAGCTAATTCTCTAGTCTGATTAAATGTTATATGTAATTTCTTTTTATTTCTTTTAGGGGAAAGCACATGCAGACAGATCAGGCTTTGAGGGCGCCTGGACAAAGGATCCTGCAAAATTCGACAACACATACTTTGTGTATGATAAATTATCAGTGCTTCACATAAATGAAATTTGCATACATTCTATTTGCATAATTCATGATGAATCTAACTTTTGTATACATTCTATTTGCATAATTCATGATGAATACTATGATGTGAGCAGGGAGCTTCTGAAAGGAAATTCAGAGGAACTGTTACAACTTCCAACAGATAAGGCTTTACTGGAGGATCCAGAGTTCCGCCGCTATGTGGAGTTATATGCAAAGGTAATATTGATTCTTAATAAATGGGAAGATGAATGGTTTATGTTAGGATGAAAACTTACAGTGTTGCATCACATTATTAATTGAGATTTTTTTTTGTTCATATGGTAGGATGAGGATGCATTCTTCGCAGATTATGCAGTATCACACAAGAAACTTTCAGAGCTAGGCTTTAATCCATCTCCCCTGGGTTCTAAGGGCGCTGTGAAGAACTGTACTGTATTGGCACAAGGTGCTGTGGGAGTTGCAGTTGCTGCAGCCGTGGTGATCTTCAGTTACTTTTATGAAGTTCACAGAAGGGTCAAGTGAAGAACTTTTAAGTTTTATCCGTATCACATGGAATCCATGTTGGAAATTTCACCAATAAGTTTCTTGATTGAACATGATGTTACTGGCAAGTCCTATGAGAGGAAGCATTTATGTCTTTCACTTTGATTTGATAATAAATGGGTCTTTTATGTGGAATGATCATATTACATTTTCTCATTTATTCATTACTTCAGCTGTGGTCCTATGTTTAGTATCAAGTCTCTGAGCATTTGGTCCGAGACTACTGTGGTTCTATTTCTTAGAAACAGGTCCCGTTTTTGATTTCGACTTGAAATTTAAAGAACTTTTTTTTTTTTTTGGTATCCGGGGATGTCCGGGTCAGCTTTCCCTTCCTGTTGTCCATAGGGAAAAGGGGAGACTTATTTTGCATAATAGATTGCCAAAAGTGAGACATCAATTATTTTTTTCTTTTATTGAGATGTGCCTTGTTGAGGCATACATTAAATAAGTGGTAGGCAAAATTAAATAAATGCTACATTGTTTAGTGGATACAACCGTCAAATTTCTACCCTCAGATTTCTACCTACATACTCCTTCCACTCTTCTGCAGGAAGTGGAGTCAAGGAGAACAAGTTTATCTCCAATCTAAAAGCTACATAGATTATGAAATTAAATTATTAGTTAAGGTAAAAAGACTCCATCAGATTCAGGCTCTTGGACTCAAAGAAAGAGTGATATCTTGGAAAACCTTAAGTCGCTTGTCGATCTTCCTCTGAAATATCCCTGCATTATTGTTGCTAGTTTCATCACTCTTCCCAGCTTCATTTGTTGAACCTAGAACTGCAGCAATAATAGCCTCTTCAAAGTCCTCGTTGTTGGGCAAAAACTCTGTCAGTTTGTTCTCTGCTTCTTCAGTCGATAGCCTCCTTGTCTTGTTTTCAGGTTTCTCTGGTTCTATAGCAAAAGGCTTGGTGTACTCCCCAATGTCATTCACTCTCATAGAATTAGCAGCATTTCCTGACCTTGTTCTTTTCAGTTTCTCATGAAACTGATTCCCAATTGGTTCTTTTACCATTGGCTCCTTCAAAAATTTGGATGAATAAAACGGCGGTGCATCGATATTCCATGGATTTCCATAAGGGGGAAGTTGTTTGATACTTCTCTGCTGAGGAGGATCAATGTTCTCATCAGCAAAATCATCCTGAGTTTTGATTGCCTTGGTTGTGGGCAAGATTTTTTTTTCTTTGGAAGGCTGAGATTGCCATGAGTTCCCATAGGGAAAAAGTTGTTGTTTGACACTTTTCTGCTGAGGAGGAGGAATGATTTGATTCACAATTAAATTGGAATCAGTGTTCTCATCAGCAAAGTCATCCTGAGCTTTATTTGCAGTTGTTGTTGTTGGCAAGACTGTATGATCTTTGCAAGGCTGAGGTTGCCAAATTGATGAAGAGCCAAGAAAGGCATCAAACAGCCTACTTTGTTCAACCCGATCCCCTCCTTTGTTCATCATCTCAGACTCAAGGTCTTTGAGCATCTGTTGTGCTCTTTCATAGGCCTTAAGATGAGAATCAACCCCTCTGGGTCCATCAGCAACTGCCGGTTTCACTCGCCGCAAAGTTTCTTTAGCCTCAGCAATTCGCCCTTGTTTCATCAAACAAATACCAAGATTGCACATCTTGTTGTTATCCGGTGCAATCGTTAGTGCTCGTCGATAAGCATCTTCTGCTTCAATGTAGTTGTTCTGCTGCATCAATGCCCATCCCAAGTTTCCCTGTAACATAACATTGACTCCAGTTCAGTAAAACCGATTTATACAATTTTTTGAAGGAAAATACTAAGCCATTGAACAAAATTTGTACTCGAGCATTCTCACCAGTAATCGAGTTGCTTCTTGCTCCACAGAGACCTGAAATTTCTTGCCTTGAGATCTGGCAGTCTTAGTGCGTTTCCCATTGAAAGCCAGCCCTTGTTGAATCAAATACAGCTTGTGTCTCAGTAGTGCTATTTGGTCATCCAATCTTCCACATCTCTGTACAATAATTTACCCGAATAACTAAAAATCAGTACTCCCTTAGTCTGAACAACAAAAAAGAAGTACAAAATGGGGAAATGTGTTAAAACCTTGTAAAGATCCAACAGGATATTGTCAAGAGACTCCTGTGCTTGATCTGAACAACGACTTCTCAGTGACTTGATGGCTTCAATGGCTTCTTCCGCCCGGTTCTGTTGCTTCATCACAATAGCCATATCTTTCAAAGCACTATCTACTCTATCCCCAGCATTAATGGCAGCCCAAAACAAAGGAATCGCCTTCTCAGGGTCTTTATCCACCAACTAATCATACAAAGAAACAAAACCCACATCAAGAAAACATAAACCAGAGAAACAAAAAATCAACTAAAGATCAAAAACCAATTTTAAAACACCCTAATCTTACCTGAACATTCTTGGCCCTCACATAAGGACTGTCACCAACTGGGACTTTGTGTATGGCATGAAAGGACTCCGACCGTGTTCTTGACACCCCGAGAGGCTTCGCCGGTGATGAAGGAGCCGATTTGGTTGGCCTGAAACCAGGAGGAGCGTTCCACATATCTTGCAACATCTTTAAAACCAATTTTTTTTATCTTCTTTTTTCTAATTAGATTAGAGTATTTGTATTTCAGAGATTTTAAAGATGAACAAGAGATAAACGAAGTCTCTGTGGAGAAGAAAAAAGAAGAAAAGGAGAGAGATTTAAGAGTGGGGAGGCAGAGAGTGAAGAAGAAAGGTGTGATTTAGAGAGGCTTTTTAGGAGAAACTTTTTGAAAATTTCCGACCGTTGAAGTTACCGTTCCACCTACTAGCCGTTAGAACGTAGACTCTCCCCAATAATATACTCAGAAAGCGGCACTCAGAAAATCATTATTTTAAACTCACCCCCAAGATAACCGTATTTACGCATTTTTGTACGTAGTCCTCTATTGATTATTTCTAGTAATACCATATAGAATTGAAATTTTTGCAATAACATCCTTACCGAATCTATTTAATTATACTATATATATATTTTTCAACATAAATTTCCATGAAACGACAAAAGATCATTCAATTATATAAACATTCTAAGTTGTTAATGGAAATACAACTAATTTTTTTAATAATTGAGGTGTTCGGGTTAGCTTATGCGCATATCAACTAATCTTGAGGTTTATTTATTTATTTTTTTGGTAATCAGGTGTTTGAGCCAGCCTCGAGGTTTGAATTTAGAAACTCAAGGAAGGGAGCAAACCTTCTTAACCATCAGGCCAACCTCTTAGGATTTCTGGGGTTTATTTAATACCTTACAAACTCAATAGATCAAGTAAATCACAAATGTGGTAAATGACCACTTGGTGTGACTCGAAATCTCGAATCTGGGTAATTGACGCAGCGAGTTAGCGTGAATAAACAAAGGTAGCACTCGACTATGCCTTCAGAACTAATAAACAAGTCTCAATCCAAAAACTTAAACTGCGAAATCTAAAGAAAAATCTGAATAATGCATTGAATGGTCTTCAAAATGAAAAATAAGTTTATATAGGGTGACAACCAACCCTAATAAGACTCCTAATAACAAAAGGAAACAAAAACTAAATCAATTAAAACAAGAAAATCCGAAATAAAATAAGAAAAAACGTGCAAATAACTAAAATAGTCCCGAACATGCCAAAACGGTGGATTTTGACCTCAAAAATTACCTCTGACCAATTAAAGCAGTTGCCACGTCGACGGGCTCGAAATAAGCTTTCCAACGGTATCTTACAGGCCCCATAACTCTTTCTGGATTAAAAGTTATGGCCATTTGAATGGGACATGTTCATTTAAGCCCTTTGGACTTTACGTATGGACTTCTGACGTTCAGCCCACTCTATGAATTCATCTGCCAGACGTTCTACGTTAGTAACCAAAGTTCTTGCACCACATCCCAAGTGGTTCAATTGGAGGGATGTTCCTAAGAAAGCTGGTCTTAAACGCTACAATAAAATGAAGATATTATTACTGTACAAACAACACAAAAAACCAGTAAATATCGATCAAAATATTATTTAATTCATTATTTCTCTTGGTTTATCTAACATAGGTTTGATTATAAAGTGTTTTTATGTGTATTCGTATATATTAGATGCTGGCGTATCGCACAAGAGCTACCTGGAAGAAGTACCTCAAGTGTCAGGAATCACAGCAGAACCAGTAGAATGAAAAATTACTTAAACCAAGCTACCGGTGGTGAAGGCTGTAGTTCGCCGCAGAATCAAAGTGTCCAAGGTAGAGAAAGAGTTAACAGACTTAAATCTAAATCTGGAGCTTTCTCTAAGCTGTACTCCAGCCAGCGCCATGAAATTTTAATTTGGAGTTGACATTTTAGACATTATTCCCTGCTTTTAATAATACCCACCAGTGAATTATAAAGGAGAAGGGAGATTATTTGAGTTCCAACTAGACAGATTACTGGGCACTTGCTGTTCAAATATCGTAATTCTTGGGTTTTATTTCGTCTTCATAGTGTCATGAACCATCAAACTCTCTGGTTTTTAACCTACATATGATAAAACTCAAAAGCTATCTGTTTTAAATACAGTAATGTTTTCATTACGGATCATTCCATATTATTTTTATTTTTATGCAAAATCATGGACTTATAAAAAAACCCTATGTAATTAATGATATATTAATCCAGAATAAATCATTTTAACGCTTAGAATTTTAAATTTAATTTAAGATTTTCCTCTCAATTAAGATGTTAATTAAGAAGATTGATATGTTTTAAAAGAAAAGAGATGAAATAAAATGACAGGCCAGAATCGCTGCCTGAAAGAAATCCAAGGAAAACACATTGAACTCCAAACCAATTGCCCTGCCAATTTTACCATATACCAAAACTACCCCTCCCGTTCTCTCTGTCTCTCTGTGTCTCTCCAATCCACCTCCCCAGGCTCTGATTCCAAATCTTTTCAGACCGGGAGTGTTCAGGCTAGTTTATATACACTTTAATTAATCCATCGAGGCTCTGGAATTGTTGGTCAAGTAAGAGTTTTAATGGCCACCGCTATTAGTGTCTTAGGATACTTGAACTCAAGTGCTCGTAGAACTTTTTTTGCTCTTTTACTATCAAACCCCCTATTAGTCAGGAATTGTTAGTTTCAACAACATAGAAAACATTTCCTTTCCTGGAACAGATCAAATTCTGTTCTGCTTGGATGAGATAAGTTAAACTATGCTCATCACTTGTTAACACTTAGCTTCATTAGTAGCAAAGTGGATGATGATGACGGTAAGATTTTAGAAGAAATATTAGATGTTGACGGTTGTAAGAAAGAAAAGGAAGGTAAAGAGAGAGAGAATAGGATCATGTGCATGTATAATTTGATCAATTTTTTTTTTTTTTTTTTTTTTTTTTTTTTTTAATAATTAGGGTATTCGAGTCAGCTTGCACGTATTTCAACTAATTTTTCAAGACTCTAAAACTGTCAGCCTGATAAGAGCTCCAATGACAATCGTGGGGATTCGAACTCATGAGACTATATTAGATCCCGCTCTTACTCTTTTACCATCAAGTAGAGACCGATGCAGTACTAGTTGATTAATATACAATGTTTAGATTTTGGCTCACTTTATTAGAAATATTAATGAACAAAAAAATTAATTTACAATTAGTTTTTATTTTGATCCACTCTAACAGAAATTTCTGGATCCAACTATCATCAAGGGAACTCAAATTCAGGAGATCATGTTATATCCTCCTTTACTCTTTTACCTTGAGGTTACCCAATGGTTGTTAATTTTGATCAAATTGCATGTCAAATCAAGTCTACTGCGTGGGAGGATTGTGGTGAATTGTTAATTGAATCTAAGAATAGGTATTAATAGGAATAAAGTTATGAAATTCCGATAACTTTATTCATGTATCCCAACTCATTTATATACACTGCCTTTAATTAATAAAACAAACAAATAGACATTCCAACCTTAGATTGAGGAGCCAACACTAACTCACTCCTTTTTCTTTTTTTTTATGACCGAAGGTGTCTGAGCTAGTTTACACGCACATCAACTAATCTCTCGAGATCTTAGAATTACCGATCAGATATGAGCTCCAATGACTACCCCTATTAGCAATTGTGAAGACTCGAACTTGGGAGTTAATGTTAAATCATTTTCTTGCACTTTTACCTTCAAATAGACTTAAACTTGAGAGACTATGTTAGATCATTCTTTTGAAAGATAATGTTAGATCATATTCTTACTCTTTTACCATCAATAAGACTTGAACTTAGGAGACCATGTTAGATTCTCTTTTGCTCTTTTACCATCAAACCATCCACTGGTGGTTAAGTCACATTTTATTGTGGCTAAACTACTAACCATCCGAAATACCAATTCAACATAACATGTTATTGCCGGTTATTGCCCTTCATGTGTGTCGCCGTAGCTAGTAACAGAAGCCATGGAAGATATACTTCTCTAAAAAAAATAATAATAATAATTAAAGGGCTTAAAAAGAGATTTTACGAGGCTCAAATAACACCAATTATAATTAAAAGAGGGATTAAAAAAAAAAAAAAAAAAATATTTTACTTACAAAATTACAATTGATATTTAACCCCATTTAATCTCTTTTCTAATAGAATTAAAATTTCAATATTGTAATTAATCCAAAAATATTCTTCTCCCGATCTTCTTGTATTCCTCAAGACTTAACACATCATAGCGGTATATGAACACAGGCTGATTGAGTGATCTCTTCATAACACATCTTGATTTAAATGTGTTAAAAAGATACATATCCATTACCTATTGATTGTGACATGGATTTGGATATCATGGTTCTAATAATAATGAATATGTGATGAGAAGAAATTATTAAATGTGAAGTAAAATGAGGCAATAGAATAATGGGGTAATTAAGTTAAGGCCTTTCAAGCATATGAAACTCATGAAAGTTAATGTAGTCAACAATTCCAACAAAGATTCGGAAGAAAAAAAAGGATAAGCTTTCTCTAAAGGATTATGAATGTGTCATGCTTTCTATCTAATATCCACGTTTTTTTGGTACTTTGAAATCTTCTAAACCCTACTATCTCATTCTTAATGAATATTGATCATATGCATGTCACGTATCATTATATAATATACATATTCTTTCAAAGAATGTGGAGCCCTTAGTTTCTTCAAAAATAGTTCATTCTTCGTGAAGTCAAAAGTTAACAAAAGATGGTTTGAGCTTGGAGAGGTAAAAGTAAAGGTGGAGCGGAGCATTTACTAATTATAAATCCTAAGGGTTGGCTTGGCAGTGAAAAAGGTTTGTTCTATTCTTTGAAACCAACTTCTTGGATTCAAATCTTAGGATCACCTACCACAATAATATTGTAACTTATTTAGTCATTTGAGCTTATAAAATATTCAATAGATATCGAGAATTAGTTGAGTTATGTGCAAGCTAGTCTAGATACCCCGATTACCGAAAAAACATTACCAATGACTATGAGGTATTACATATCATTATATAAGTTACCCTAACTTCAACAACAATTCTCATATGTGATCATTTTGTCAATTCATATAAACAATTTATGCATGTAATGTAACATTATTTTGAAAATTTTAATTTTGGAAAATTAGGGTTAAAAGTTAATAGGATTAGGGGCACATCATATGCCCTAGAATCTCCAAAGTCTATAATGAAAATTAAGTAGCCATGCTTGATCATCAATGAATTGCTTTCAAGAATTCAACTTGCGGCTGTGAATCATAACCACCATAAGGCTACATTACCCCCATTATCAAGATTTATAGAAAGAGCGCAGTTAAATATACACGTTTAGCTTTATACAAATAAGAGTGTAAAGAAAAAAAAATACACACTAAAGTAGAAGGTAAAATTTTTTGTGCATGCACAGTATACCCAACTCCAATCTAATGTAAGAGAGACAGACCAATAATATCGTCCAACTTTTACTAAATTTCTTTCATTATTTAGTTGATTTTGTACGAGCATGATGATGGATGGGTGCAGTACTTAAGAGAGAAATGTTAAGTACGTATGAACTAAACAGTAAATCCCTCCTTCCTTTAAACCATCAATAATGAAGTTTTCTGTTTACTTCCATGGAATCCGTCTATATAAACAATGTAGAGTTCATCTCTTTCCTTTACATCTCCAGAAAACCTAGTAAAGCTTTAGTGAGCTGCAATAGTAGTCGTCTATTACTGTTCCTCTTTCTACTTGTATTTTTCTTCTGTCGCTTTCTCTGCTTCATCTCTCTAAGCTCTCTTAACGTCTTTTGTTCTGTTTTTTTTTTTCTTTTTTTGCAGCACATGCAAGACATGGATCCTCAAGCTCCTAAACCTCAGATCCCAAATGCTGAAGCTCCTCAAAAGCTTATTTTTTTAAGGGGAAATGAAGGTTTGGCTTCCATGGTGGAGATGGATATAGATCTTCGTCTTCCTGAAAAGAACGCTAACTTTGTCACTAGGTCTCATACAGTAAATAGATTTAAGAATATTAATGAACCGATGTTTTTTTTTTTTTTGTCCATCTCCTTCTTACGAACGTCCCTACCGACATGATTTCAGAAAACATTATCTCCCGGTGAATTGTTATGGGTGCGGTATACACTTTGATCGTCGACCCGCTACTGAAGACAAGATACCGGCGTCTCAACAACACTTTTACTTCTACAATGAGAAGGTTTACTGTAGCTTTGCCTGTAGACAATTTCAAATAGACATGGAAATACCCTCCCTTGCACTAAAAGATTACAAGGACAGTGCTTGTACCTCCAACGCAGCATCCGCAACGACTCCAAGGAAGAGCAATCCAAGAACTCAAGCTCCAGCACGAAGAAGCTAAGAAAATTGCACGTCGTTTTCTGCACTGTGATAATCTTCACTCTCTTCAGCCACTATAAGCTGTAAGGTAGAAGAAGACTTCACAAAATCTAGCCTACATGCAAGATATTTGGTGAAAATGTAGGTTTTTGTAAGAAAGCGAGTAATTAATATGTTTTCTAAGTACTGCAAACAGCTCTGCCTCTGTGCTTCTTGTGTTCGTTTCACCATCTCTCCTTGAATCGTGAACTTTCATTATATCTTGAGGTATAGATCGAGTGTAAAAGGAGGAAAAGCAGAAGGAACTCATTTTCTCAATCATATATTAAAAATAAACTGCAATATTTCTCAACATCAAAGATTTTAAAGCATCAACTGAAACCTATTCAGTTCCCATTTAAGAAAAATTAATTAACCCTTGTTAATTTATTAACTACCTTTTTGAGTGGTTGATATTTTTAAATATCGGTAATGGAAGTTGTTCATATGCATAAGTTCAGCTAAGATCAAATCAGAAAAGAAAGCTAGCTGCAGGCTACGGCTGTAGTTAATGATGATTCCATATTGATCATAGAAGAACCCCACCAAAATCGAGGTATGATATGATAAAACAGCAAAATTAGTAAGATGATAAGAAGCAGTTTCGGTAATCAAGGCCATATTTAATAGTTGTTTAAATATTAACAAGGCAAATATTGTTTGTTTGGTGGGTTAAGAACTTAAGATCACCAGAATGTCAAGACCTAAAAGAGCCCTTAGATCCGTTAGGTAGAGAGATTCATGACAGCATCGGTAATAGACGCAATGAAATACAGCAGAGAAGAGTACGAAGATCAGTGGTCGATGCACTTCGATTCATGGTTTTGGTGATAGGTCCATCTGTAACGGATTCAGAAATTTCTTTTAGGGTAAGCCAAAATAAAAATTTATTATACATTACTATTTTTGTCAATTAATATTTTTGTTAGGGTGGGTCAAAATATATAAATTTGCATATTAATATTAAAAAAAAAAAATTTGAGGGTGGGCCAAAAAGTGGCTGAATCCGCCACTGGGGTCCATTTCAATCAGGTAAAATTGAGCAATACTAACCCCAACAATCTTTTTTTCATCAATTTTTTCTCATAATATATCTAACATACCAGTTTATAATTGTTCAACTCACAATTAATTAATTTGATAGTTTATAAACTGTCATATCTGAATTATAAGAAAAAATTTGTGAAAGAAAGTTATTGGTATAGTATTATTCTACAAAATTTTCTCTCATCTTCATCACCTTTGTCACCTCATTTTATGTAACATTTTTAAATTATATTGCTCTAACTGTTTTTTTTTTTTTTTTTATGTCTGGGTTAATTTGTGAGTAACTCAATTAATCCTTTAAAATTTCAAAATTGACAGTAAAATAAATCTTTTTAGTGATCACTCCTATTATCAAGATAGATCGAATTCATACATCGAGAATCTTAGTTGATCGGAAAACCACCCATCGATGGTTATATTGCCCCAACTTGTTGCCCATCTCACTCTCCTTGTGTATTTACATTATTTCTCTTAACTCATTCCATGCCAAATCAATTTCAGCCACATATATGAAATTTAATTGAGTCTTGATTATGTACGTATGTGATATTTCATCATAATAACCATATCAGCTGTCACTTTGAAGTTTAATTTTGGATAAGAAAAGACATATCAGTGAAGGGTTTGGTTAGAACTGAATAGTTGGGGAGAATATTTAGTTGGAATAGAACTAGTGGCTATGATTAATTGGGTTAGGAGATACCAGTAATAGGATTTAAAAGAGAGAAATTGTACAAATGGTGTCATTGATCGAGGAGCTGAGGCTGTGAAGTTCGTGCCAAAATCAAATGGCCATGCCTGTGCTTGCTTTTTGGCGATTTTGCTTAAGCAAGTAAAAAGAAGGAGATGGACCACTGTTGTTGAACTGGACATTCTTAGCTAAGTTCTCCTTCAGTGTACCTTCGCTTTGGAAAGCCCTTTTGTGGTTATGGTTGTGGCTATGACCTTCAGAACTTAGTATATCGATCTCGTGACTTATACGTCATCACTGTTAAAACCCTTCATTACGTTTCATCACATGTTTCCATGGAGCTCACCTTAATCCACTGTTTCCATTCATACAACATTTTGTCACTGTTATTGTACTCCAATTCGGTCCTTCAAATTAATTAACTAAAAGTAGGAGAGACCAAGAGAGATGAATTCCCAGTGAACAAAATGAAGTGACGGTGCACCTTCTCATTGCGCCAACCGCTCAAGATGGCAGCTTGGATTGCAGCACTACAGACTACATCCTCATCTGACTAATCTTCTTGCAAAGTTCTGAGAAAATCCCAAAATTAGATGGAAGAGTTGGTTTTAGCAATATTCAGTGTTAGGTGTAGTCGGAAAGACTTTACTGTTAAACTTTGAAATAATTTTTCCTTTTCAAATTTCAGTTGGCACCATTTGATGCCATGAATCAACCGGCTACAATGGCAGACTTGGTCATGAAAATATAGGAGGGAAGGATGGAGGTCAAGTATAAAGTTAGGATCATCCAATCCTTTTTATTATAAATAATATTTAATTACAATTCTGTCTTTGGTTGGGTCTTGTTAGCATCCTTTTATTCGTTATTTTGAAAAGAGAAAACAACATTTACCCACCCAAGGTTTGGCAAGTCTCTGTTGCCCACCCATGGTTCATAAATTCTTGATTTCAACCCTTAAATTAACACCATTAGTGATTTTTGGATTCTGACACACTATAGAGATGTTATTATCAAACTGTCCTTGAACCTTTTACTTTTGATTCAAAATAACCCCCACATCTCAAAATTCTCTCTATTGCCTCTCTGCCTCCACCTTTACCATTGCTTGATAGGAGATCCCGGTCAAGCAAAAAATCTGGCCTGGGTTCGACACCGTTGGACCTCTCTAACACAACCATCAGTATCTCATTATCCTCTTCACCAAAACCCTTAACTTTTTCACTTGAGTGCACCTACTAATCGCTGGCCATCACTCCTCACTGGTCTACTCCATCGCATAATGTCAGTTTTTTGCACTCCATTGCCTGTTGTTGTGTTTGTTTGTTTGTCTATCACTTTGTTGTTTTCTGGTCGTCTGTCGTCCCCCTTGCATCCACACCCCTAGTCACTCCTCACTCAACCAACCACCATACTTCCAGCTCAAAAACACAACTCCCAACACCATTACAACCCCCAGTTGCCTTAACCCCAACTAATGCTGCCGCCAAACCAATCGCCTCTTGGGTTGTAGTGGTTTGGATGACTGTGGTGGTGGTGGTTTGAAATGTGGGCTCATTGGGAGTTAACATTTTCATTTCAGACTCAATATAATAAAATTGACAATTTTACTCTTTAACTGTTATATTAATCAATTTTCTTAATTTAAGAGGGGAATATGAAATTTATGAAACCATGGTGGGAACACAGAGATTCGTCAAACCTTGGGTGAGTAAAATTTTAAGCATATTACAGGGTGACTTATGTAATTTCACATATCACAAAATTATAATTTGCAATTCACCACCGTAAAAAAACTCTTTTGGCCCATGCAGGTCTCGAACCTGCGACCTTCGCGTTATTAGCACGACGCTCTAACCAACTGAGCTAATAGGCCGAATTATTTTTCTTAAAATGTTTTAAAAATATATTGATATAATTTTGATTTGATCATACTTACAAACTTTTATTCTCCCTTGAACGAAGAGTTAATTATTAGAAACACACCCACAATACTTTTTGGAAATTGTGAATGCGCTTTAAATTTGTTTTCATCTCTAGAGGTGAATAGTAAATCCCGAGAACTAACTGAATTGGTTGTTTGTTGAAAGAATACACCGCGCTGACGATTTTATGGTGACCGAGAAATTATCCATGGCGACGACAGAAGATTACGAGGTATGTGTTTCTGTTTGTTGCGATTTGTGAAGTATCTTACTAATAGATATGCTGATTCGTTAAATTCAATTAATTACCTTATATTTTCTTTTAATTATTGGGGTTTATATTCTGGGGTGTTCATAGATTGATAATGATAATATGGATTAGGGATTTGTTGAATTTAATCGGTCTTTTGATAATTCTGTTTCACAATTATCAATTTAATTATATTCAACCCTAAACTTAGTTGTTTTTATCATATAGTCAGCTATTTTATGTATTTATGAAGGGCGTAATTTGCTTGTAGATTGAAGAGAAAAAACAAGCTGCTGCTGATGTACTATTCCAATATTCAAAGTTTGTGATGGCTTGTATTGGGAATCAAGCTCGACCTTGTGACTTGAGATTGCATTTGATGAAGGTATATCTAATTTTTTTTTGTATAATTTGGGTATAATGTTGTTTAATTTGATTGGGGGAATGAACTTTCTTTTACACTTGCCCCAATTCAAGCGATGTTGATTGACACTGATATTTGTGGTTCATTTGTTCAGGAGATTTCTGGGTTGCCAACTACTCTGAAGAGAGACTCACCTTCTCAAGGAACAGCTTCTCCTGATGCGATGGGTGAGTCTTCAAGCTCAGGCACAGGTAAAGTGGAAAACACCGACAGTTTTCGGCTACAATAGTTTAAAGATGAGTTGTGGTTAGTTGTTATTTGAGGTGTTTCTCTTTCAATTAATTAATTTTTTTTTTTTTTTTTTTTTGGTAGTTACCGAATATTCTTTTTATATTGTGGAACATAAAATGTCATCCAGTATTGACGATTTGTTAAATCAATTTTTTGCAATCAATTATAGAGTGATTTAGACTCCATGACTTCTTGTTTCTAAATTTTCTAGTGGACAGAATCCCCAAGAAACTTTAATGCACACACGAATTTGTTTATATATTTATTGATACGTGTGTGATGAAGGGTTTTTTTGTTATTGCAGATCTTCTTGATTCTTGTCTGAACCTGATCACACTCTAGGCTATTGAACTTAAAGTAGGTTAGTCCATGGATTATGTGAGATCTTTAAGCATTAAGATAAGATTTTCCTGTTGAAGAATGTATGAACTTATAATCAAACAAATGTAACTGTTCGACTAGCTAAACAGTGGTTATTGCGCATACTTAGTCATTAAAGTAAAATAAGGTGCATTTAACATAAAGGCTAAAGTAGCAGAAACACCTCACAGAATGCTTTTGTTCGTATGTGACTGCAAAACTTTTTTGTTTTGTTTCCTAGTTGAGCTACATGACTAGGTGGTTTGTACAATGAAATGAATTGGATGCTTCACCTTTTCCTCCTCTTATTGTTAATCCACATCTCTGGTTGAAAGTTTTGTTATGCCATACAAAGAGGAGAAAGATTACTATCATTCAATAATTAACAATTATGGTGTCCATAAAGAAAAGAAGAAGAAATTAATTATCTTTTCAGGATATAGGCAAATATATTTCCACTTTTTGCTTGAACAATAGATACATATGAATTACAGAAGGGAATTTACCAATAGTATCTATTAATTAATTTTATGTTTGTGTTTGTGGTTGCCCTTCAAATTCAAAATCTGATAACTTCAAGCTTCTGTAATTTAAACATCAATTCTCAAGCCCGAGAACAATTGCAATTGCATCTATTGCTGCTATTGCAGCTGCCCTCTTTATCTCTTTTCAGCTTGAAGCAATTAAGAGCATGGGACTTCTCTTTCTTTGTTTACAAGTTGCAGCAGGGGGTTTAGGTGGTTGTTGACAGGGCTAAGTTACTGTGAGCTGAAGATTCAGTTCTAGACTCTTTTCTCTTTCTGCATTTGACTGGTTATTGCACCTAAATCTTTTAGCACCCTCATTCATAACAATTGCTTCTGGATTTTTGTTGGTGAGTCGAGGGATCAATACTTCACTTGCATAGCTTCGTTTTTATAGTAGATATTGATTTCATTATCTGTTCTTCTGGAAAACCTTCTTGCTAAAACAGACCAATTTAACAAGAACACAAACAAAATCCTGTTTGATCTTCTTTGTCAAAATTAAATAATGAGAATCAATAAAACTTTGTTTGTTGCTTACCTGTTACCAACAATAGTGAGTAGTTTAAACTTAATAATAATTTCATCTTCTTCATTGAAATTACCACACTTGGTATCAGGGCATATCTGGTCGCTTTACCAGTAGTGGCAACTCTTGCCACAAGAAAGAAGATCAGCTGCTTTTGGGACAGCTGTAGCAGATTACTACGTGAGCTTGAATGTAACTGAAAAGTTCTTCACTGATCCAGTCACCATTGTTGGTGTGACCCTGCTTACAACATGAACACCGAGACATGGTAGTACCAACAAACTAGCAACAAGTAATGGTGTAGTTCACTAGCTTTTCATTGAATTAGAATCCTCTTGTGATATAAACTACTTGAGTCAGAATATCTTGTGAAATGTGTTTTATCTTCATTATGTGTGGGGAAACTATCTCTGTTATCTTCTTTTTCTTTCTTTTTCTAAATTGTTTCTGCTAACTACCAAACTTTGGTGTTTTGTGAGAGGGTGTGGGATCGTGTTTTTTCATAATCGTATATGCACCTATAATCATTTATACATCCTGCATAAATTGGAGGGTTTATGGAAGTTTTACAGAAGTTGCTTCAAAATATTAGTCTGTAAAATTTTGAAGATATAACTTATTGATGCTAGGCATGCAATGTAGAAAAGATTTGAACAAGATTTTAAGTTGACTGTCCTCTTGCATTTATGAGTTAGATACTCTTTCCACCACACATCAAGTTCTTGTAAACTAAATATTATCTGGTTTAAGTATGGGGTTAATGTGGTGATTTTATCCATTAATTCACATGTATGATCTTTCATATCTTTAATGGCAGCATTGAGTAACATATTCTTATCAACTTCACAGATTCTGTAATGTAGTATTTCTTTAATGGTGTAAGACAATGGTAAGAGCAGGAAGCAGTACACTAATTTTTAAATTTATTTTTTTACTAGTAACCCCGTTACTGATTACACCAAATTCAAAATTTAAAATCTTTTATTGTAATTTTTTTTTATTAATTTAATAAACCGATCAAGTTTAATTATAAAATCCAGCATTTGTAGTATTGCGTTTCTTTTTTCTCTTGTGTTTGAGTGAGTTTGCGTACACCTCAACTAATTTTTTAGAGTCCTGAAGTTAATAGTCTGGTAATCCTCTAATGGTCACTCCTATTAGCAGTTAAGGAGAATCGAATTCAAGATTTCTTGGGTAATATACCTAAGGGTTCTGTCTTAAAAACTAAACTGAATCGGTCGGTCAGACTGGGACTCGACAGCTTCTCTGGTCCGGTTAAGGTCTTAGGGGTTTTTTTATAATATTTTAAAATTATAAGGGTTATTTTGTAATTTTATAGGGGTGTTTTGGAGATATATCCAAAGTTTAGGGATTAATTGATAATTTTTTGGGGCATTTTGAAATAAATAAAAACTTTAGGGATTAATTTAAACTTTTGAGGGGAATTTTTGTAATATATTAAAATTTGAGGGATTAATATGTAATTTTTAAAAAATAAGATTATCATTGATGTTATCCGTCTAATTGGCTGATCCAACCGGTTGACCTGTGACCCGAGCAGTAAAACGGGTTGCTCTCCGATTTAGGTTTTAAAACAATGCCTAAGAGTCTTTGTTGACCACTTGACTACTTAGGGGTTGGTTGAAACTTAACATTTTGTTTTGTGCTTACAAAAAATTCTCTTATTCTTTATAAAAAAAAAAAAATTATTGATAATTTTTTTTTTATTATTATTCAAATGGGGTGTTAAGAAGTAATTGAGTGTTTTTAATCATGTCTTTGAATAATTCTTTAGTCAGGATGTCTTGATATAAGTTTATTATGATCATGCATATATACTATTGGATCTGAGTTATAAAATATCATTTTAATTCAATGTAAAAAATATATTGGTGAATATGTTTGGTCATGATCAAATATATATCAGAATGTTCTGACGAGAGAATCAGGAGTGTGCCCAAAAATCATGTTCTCATTCCATTTATTAGGTAAATATAAACTTTGATAGGATACCGAACATCACTATAATTTACCCAAGCCTATTGGGCAACATAAGCTCATGAGCTTTAACACCATTTTTTTTTTTAATGATCGAGCGTGTCTGAGTCAATCTATGCATACCTCAACTAATCTCTTATAACTTTGAAACTACTAATTAGATAAGAGCTCCAGTGGTTACCCCTATTTACAATTGAGGTGAGACTTGAACTCATAACCTTTTAAATAATATACCCAAGAGTCATTGTCGAATCACTGAATCACCCAAAAATAGTTTTAACACCATTATTTGGTTGTTTTTACATGGAAGCCACAATCTATTAGGTTACACAATTGATTTTGTGTAAAATTAAATGATGTTTTTTACTTGGAAGTAAATAGTTAATACAGTGAAAGTTAAAAAGGTGGTAGTTGGATCTTGGATGGTTCACCAAGATACCAACTGCAATCATAGAAGAGTAATGCTACAGTTATTGATGGGTGTGTACCAAATTTGTACACCGAATGACGTGATAAAATCTTGACCGTTTATTTATTATCGGTTAATATTAATCAACGGTCAGGATTTTGTCGCGTTATTCGGTGCACAAATTCGGTATAAACGTTTCGGTAACTTTATCATTTTCCATCATAGAATTATTCTCTCTTTCTTTTTTATTTTTTTGTACGTAATCAAGCTGTCTAAGTCAGTTTACACTACTAATCCTCGAGAGATTTTCTCTTTTGTTATTTAGTTTCTTATTAAAACCATTTTAATATATGATGGGTTTAAAAAATCTTATATGCAAAAGACTATTCTTACTATTATCTTATAATAATCATGCGGCTTGTTTAGAAATTTAACCAGGTTATTCAGAATTGTTCTTTGTATAAATTACTAGGCCCAGCTCAGAGGAGAGCATCAATCTGTTCCCGGAAATAGCGAAACCGGTGCTGGTCACATTAACTACTGTATCCAAACATAGATTGTGATCTATAACAACTAACGCTTTAACTCCAGCTTTTAATTACAAGCTCGCTGTCTTTACTCAGTTTCAAAACCGTTGAACGCAAAGCAAAAATGGGCTCCAAAAACAAGCCGAAGAACAAAAAGATTATCAGACGCTCCGTACACTCGGATCCTGAGTTCCTGAGTGTTTCGAGGAAGAAATCTAAGCAGAAGATTCAATCTCCATTCAAACCCCAACATGGAGTTTGAGTTTTCCTTGGGTCCCTACTACGAAACAAGCAGGCCAAAAAAGAAGCTCAAAACTTCTAACTATTCTCTCCGTCATTACGAAAAGAATGATGAAGAAGAAGAAGAGGAGAAGGGAGAGAAAGGTCCAGGGAGTGACAGTGGAAGGGAACAGGAGGAAACCTGTGACGTGGCGAGAAAGTGGAGGTCGGAGGATGATTATAATGACAGGGATGAGAGTAGTAGTTGTGATGAAGTCCGAGTGAGGGACTTTGGTGAGGTGACTAGTATGAGTTGTCATGAATGTTATGAAGAAGTTCACAGAAAGTATTTTCATGAGGACTGTGAAGGGAGTGAACAGGAGGTAAATTTTCTACCTGGCTTTGCTGTGTTAATTCAGCGTCAAATATTTCTGTTTGTTAAATTCTGATTCATGTTTTATACTAAATTTATCTGAACTTATTTTTGTTTTGTTTGTGGAGCAGCCCAAGAATATTATACCCGAAAGTATTAAGAAAACGAGCAGGCTTGCTCTTCTTGATATGGATTTGACGCAAGTGAAGGTACGCCAAAAAAAAAAAAACCCTACTAATTCTCTTGATTATATTGCAATTTTTTTTTTCTAGAAATGAATTAGTTTTATGGATGATATTGGCAGTTAGTTTTTGGTTTGGTTATTATATAGGCAGCTGATTTGTATGCGATACTGAGTTCATTTCTTCCCAAAGATGGGAAAATTCTGCGTGTGACCATCTATCCATCCGAGTGTGGAGTCCGGCAAATGGAAGAAGAAGATGAAGTTGAGCATTTTGTTGGAGTAACTGATGATGAAAATGATAACAGTGATCACATCCACGAGGATAAATTACATGCTGAAGAGAAAAGGAGGCTGAGGTGATTGAAATTCTTTTCCACATCTGTATATATTTATACAAGTAAAATCTATCTCTTTCTCTCAGATATTATTACGCTGCCGTGGAATGTGATTGCATGAGAACAGCTAACTACATCTACAACACTTGTGATGTAGCAGGCTTTGAAAGAGCGTCCATTAGATATATTCCTCACTGTATGGAGTATAATTATCCAGCTCTGGATGTTGCAATAGGGGTACGTACGTACGTATACTTTTCGTATGATTGAAAGGAGCTAAGATATGTGTAAATATATGTGCAATTAACTTCTCTGTGTTTCATTTTTCACAGGATGATAATGAACTAGATCGTTCAAGGACCTTCGATCAAGTAGCAGCTGATATTTTTGGCGAGGAGCCTTGGGTTGAAGAGAGTACGGAGGGGGCTGAGAGGAAAGGCGAAGAAGAAACAGAAGCAAATGCGAAAGGGGGCAGAGCTTGATTTATTACCGGCCGATGACAGTGGTTAAAAGGGAAGTAATTTGAAACATGGACAAGGCCAAGGGGAAATGAAAAAGTGAATTTCACTACTCTTGAATACGAATAATATACTGATCCGCATTGCAAAAGGTATGAACAAATATAGATCCAGAATCCTTGACCTCTTATCTTTTAATTGTAAGATAAAGCATTGCAAAAGGTATAACCTCTTAACTCACTATGTCATATATACCTTCCATTTATGAGTTTAACCGAGTTCATATATTTTGGCTTAAAACTTTTCTTTTGTTAAGAAAACAGCTGCTTCTATTAATTATATTTCCTTTCAAGTTCAAACAACACTTCTAAACAGAAAAAACTCCGTATTTGAGAAAGGGTATGTCAATATGGACAATTTTTCTAATAGGACTATTTTCCCTTAAAAGATAGAATTTTTATTTTTATTTTGTTATGGCTGAGGATGTCTGAACTAGTTTATGTGTACTTTAATTAATCATTCAAGAACTTGAAACTACCGACCAGATAAGAACTCCAATAACTACCCTTACTAGCAACCGAGAAGGGTTATCGACGCCGACGTCAGTAAGATCTAGCCTTAAATGCCCATGCTGACGTTTGTGAGATTTGACCGAAATCGAATCAATATCTGCCAAATCTTGAATAGATTTTCAAGGGAATGGACTCAAGAGACGATTGGGGTTCCATTTGCGGTGTCGTCGCCGACCGATTTGTATTTGGGGAGTGTTTGCTAAATTTCAAACCTATAGGGACTTAACTGTTATTTTTAGGGGTGTATTTGCTAAATTTTTTAACTTTTTGTCAGCTGGTTAAACCGGTCAACCCGGGATCCGGCAACGTTGCTAGGTTTCATCCTGGGTTGAGTTTTAAAACATTGAAAAATACAACTACTGGGGATGTCAATGGAATAACAGTTAGAATAACTGTCTCCTCCCCACAATTTTTATTGTGATCAATGGATCCAAACTCATTCGTCTTGCTCCAAATTCAGGCTTTCATGACTGCAAAATCCAAAAGCAGTAACAAATGGTTCCAGTTGCAAAAAAGTAAACCACACATGATATAAATAAATTCTGAAATGTGAAAGAGCAAGGTGAAGTACAACGATAAGAAAACTGAAAAATACACTCAAATTCAAGTTTCCTTGGGAGGACCCTTCTTTGCAGCCTCAGCAGCAGCTTTTTCTTCTTCAATCTCGGCTACAATGGCATCAATTTCAGCTTCATCAAGTTGCTTTAGACCATGCTCCTTTGTCATCACAGCAACTTCTATGTTTTTCCCTCCACTTTCAACAACCTATCAAGAGAAATTTAAACAATTACACTTCTCAGAAGATATTCAATTGTTTATTACTGTAATGTAATCAAATACTGTACTCTTGCTTCATAACTGCGTTATATTTTGCAGCATAACTTAACATTAAATATGATAGCCATGTGAATGTACATAGACCAATGTGTAAGTGCCAGTGGCATCCTAAAGACATTGCCATCTCGGGTGTAAAAGCAAGTTTGAAGAACATGTGACACTTTTAGCAGCGTCATAGTTTAGCAGGACAGTAACCCTGAAGGGTATTGCTTTGGTATACACAATTATAAGCCAAATGATTGATTTTTTATTTCAAGTGATTGCATGTGATTGAAGCATTCCTACACCTAGTAAATGTATAGTTGATATATCAGATACAATCCATTGAGAAATAAAAACTTCCAAGTATACTAATTGCTCACTATGTTCCTTTGCAAATGGTCGTACACATCTAAAAGTGCATAGTACCTTTCATATATCAAGAATGAGACATCCTTAAAGAAGCAACATTTATGTATAAAAAGGGAGATATAAACAAATAACTTCTCATATAAATAACCAAGCCAGAATAAACAAACCTCAAGCAATGCTCGAATAGCAAGCTTAGTAGTTTCTCTCCCAGAAGTTTCTTTATAATTCTTCTCAAGAAACTCCCGCATTGAATTAGAGTTTCTTCCAGTTGCATTAGCTTTCCAAGCAGAAAATGTCCCAGAAGGATCAGTCTGATACAGTGCTGGTATGCCAGTGTATGGATCAAAACCCACTATCAGAGTAGAAAGACCGAAAGGTCTCACACCGCCACTCTGTGTGTACTTCTGCTGAAGACCAGCAATGTAACGAGTAATATACTCAACAGTCGCTGGATCCTCAACAGTCAGCCTATGGCTCTGACATTCAATCCGAGCCCTATTTATCAGGACACGAGCATCTGCTTTCAACCCAGCACAAGCCAATGCAATGTGATTATCCAAGCTCACAATCTTCCTAACCGACCTGTAGAATTATGCATTAGAAAACACATCACAAAAGTCCAATCCACTGCAACACTAATTAAATAAATCTAGATACCAAAACTAAACCGAACACAATGTATTTCAATCACGGGTACAATTCCAACATCTAATTCTGTAGCATTGATATTAAACTTCAACGAACAACAATAACACACGCATCAATTCGATTCATAAAAACCCTAAAAAAGGGAGGCAAGGTTGAAATTTACAAAAAACCCTAACAAAAACCTAATTCTTATTTATGTTTATCCAATAAAGAAAAACAAGAATAGAATATGGAGAAGTACCTGGAGTCTTGGAGCTTGGCAGTGGATTTCTTCTCGACGCCGAGAACGATGGTGTCGGTGCCACGTACACCGACGGCTGCGTTGCCTTTGCGCACGGCTTCCAGAGCATACTCCACCTGGAAGAGATGACCGTCCGGTGAAAATACTGTAATAGCTCTATCGTATCTGGCCATTGCTTTTGTTTTCTTTTTGCTTGATCTCTCTCAATTTCTTTCTTTTGCTTCTGTTCGTGTTTGTGTTTGCTTAATCTGTGTTAATTGATTCAGCGACTTACTGGCCAAGTCACTCACTTTATTTTTCCTTTTGAATATAATCTGGTGTAGGCTGGTCATGCTAGTTACGTGCGCTCTCCAATAAGATGTTGCCATATGGACTTGAAATATTGGACCCACTTGTTTTTTGCTAATTATCAAGGGTAGTAAAACCATTGGAACAAAATTCTCTTGGGAAGTAATAGAAATCTCCGTTAAGTTTTAAACGTTAAATAAATGATAAAAAGGTAATTTAATAATATTTTACTAATTTATAACCGTGTAAAGTTTAATGATTTACTAACCATTTATTATAAATAGGGGGATTTATGTTATTTCAGAAATGTCAAGAGGACTTTTACTATTATATTTATATCGTACTTTATATGGATTATTGTCGTTGACTCGTAATAGATGCAATAATATTCCGACTATCAATTTGATGATATTTTGTTGATATAGTGATTTGCCTCTCATTTATTGGAACTTATGATGAAGTCATGAAGATAAAACCTCCAAATAAGTGCAATGGATAATTTGTTACACAAATTATGATGATTATAATTTTCATTTTGTTTTAAGAGAAACAAGTATAGTTTAACCTTTGTTTTAAAAATCGGATCGGATCGGCCGGTCAGACCGGGACCCGACAGCTTCTCTGATCCGGTTCAGGTCTTAGAGGGGCTTTTTATAATATTTCAAAATTATAAGGGTTAATAGTAATTTTATAAGGGTGTTTTGGAGATATGTCAAAAGTTTACGGATTAATTGGTAATTTTTTGGGATATTTTTTAAATAAATAAAAATTTTAGGGATAATTTGAACTTTTTAGGGGAATTTTTGTAATATATTAAATTTAAGTGATTAATATATAATTTTTAAAAAATAAAATTGTTGCTGATGTCATCGGTTGACCCGTGACCCAGGCAGCAAAACAGGTTACCTTTCGGTCCGAGTTTTAAAACAATGAGTTTAATTACCTCTAGTGGTCGGATGGTAATAGAACTTTAGTGTTAGGTGTATTATTCAAGAAGCCTGAGTTTGATTCTCCTTGATTATTAATAGGATAATAATTGGTGGTTTATCTAGTCGTTAACTTCAAAGTCCCGGAGATAGTCAAGGTGCGCACAAAATGGGTCAGACAACCCGTTCACCAAAAAGGATAGTTTTGCTTAGTCTTCTCTCTACAATGTTGAATTCATATTGAGTAAAACGTAAGAAGAAGATTGAATACAAACCAAACTTCATATCGTAATCGTAATCAGAACCATAAGTTCATACTGGCTGGCACATAATATATATATATATATATATATATGGCCAACATTACAACCCACTGACTTACACTAAATAGAAGTTCAACAACAGTAGCTGAAATTGAAAGGTTCTAAACAGGCATAATCCTGAAACAAACCAATGTACATTTTTTCAGCTACTATAGTAGTTCAGATAGGTAAGGTGGTCTGGTCTTCTTCTTCTTCTTCTTCATCTTCTTGTTAGTTACTTGTTAGCTTCTATTTCCCATGGCCGTCAAAACTTAATCAATGCTCCTGCCCAGATGCTTCATGATGGTCTCAACCGTTATCTTGTCCTGAAGTGGCTTTGTAAGATACCCATCCATCCCCACTGCCAAGCATTTTTCTCTGTCCGTTGACATTGCATGGGCTGTTTGAGCAATAATTTGGATGTGCATCCTAGTTCCCTCTTCCATTCTCCTTATTTCTTTCGTAGCTTCGTATCCATCCATCACTGGCATCTGTTTTTGCAGGACAAAATATTTGCATAAGTTAATTAGTGCTGCAACCTTTAAAATGCAACAAAAATTGATAAATTATGTGTTGTTCCTTGTAATTTCTTACCTGGCAATCCATTAGTATCAAGTCATATGGTGGGCTCTTTAAAGGCTCTGGTTCTAGTCCTTTCTTGACAGCTTCATTCCTTCTCACCAGTGAATCGATCATGCTTGTCATCGCTTCCACTGCCTGCAATCCATCTGACACAGCGTTAACTGTTGCGCCCGCCTTGAGCAGAATTTTAACTGCTACCATCTGGAGTAGTAATGTATCTTCCACAACTAGTATATGCAAGCCCCGGAGTTTTTCTTCATCACATCCGCTTGATGATGAACTACCTTTCTCTTTTGGAGGACTGCTGACCATTTTTTGCCTCTTGGATGTTGGACTTCCATTTTGACTTTCATCGGAAGTGGAAGCTATTTCCTTGCCCTTTGACTTACTCCTTCCACTCTCAAGTCCATTGTCAGGTAATTTTGGGCTGCTCTGAGATTGATTTTCTGAATCTGTGCTCGAATTACTTGGTTCAGGATTTTGATCAGTGAACTCAATATGGTGGTTTATGAAATCCTGGTATCGAGTTGGTCTGGAATTAATGAGTCTTTCTATTTTGTCTCCCAGACTCAAAGGGACTAAAGCATCAGCAATGTCACAATCAACAAGAGCTTTATTTGTTGAAGCTCCACCGTCACTTGAACAAATCTCTATCTCCAGAGTCCTCCCCTGTAAAGCAGCTTCCAAGATTTGGATCATCTTTGTCTTGTAGAGCGGTTTGTTAACCACAATTACATGCCCTCTCTTTCTAAGCTCTGCCTTCACCATACTTGAGCTGTTATGGCTTAGCGTCCAGGCGAATTTTGCTTTCCCCGTAAATTGATCCAGGTAATCAAGTTGACTCAACCATATACCAGCCTTAAAATCAAGAAGTCCTATATCAACCACAATGATGAAAACTTGATCCTTCATGGCTTTTATGTTTAGTATTTCCTCTTTCAATGTTTGACTTAGTGAAGGCTGTTCCTCACTTGATAAAGGTTGCTCCTCTTCCAACGGTTCACTTAATGAAGGCTGTTCCTCTGAGCCATTGCACTCATTTGTGGGATTAAAGAGTTCCGGAAGAATTAGTGTCAGCTGCTTCCAGTCACTTGCTTCTATGGTGGACACTTTGTTCCTGCGCAGCCACTGCGACGTAATCCCTCTTCCCACGCTACCACCTAAAGCAAGCACCACCTGTTTCAAGTTTCAACATTTTAAATAAGTCAGTGTTCTGCTGTTTGATAGTTGCATACAAGAGCTCAACTCAACATGAATCACTATACAATTTTGAGAAAATTAGTCCTGTATCATATAGGAGTTGCAAACCGCTACAAAATGAACCCAATTTACACACATTGGCGCAAAAATTTAACCTGTAATGCCAGTTGAGCTAAGAAATCTGGACATGTTTCAAATTCAGAAGGATGTAATTTACTCACCACAGTAGGTTTTGAAAAGTCAACTTGGCAGCTCTGCTCACTGCCATCTGAAGGTGTATTGAGAAGCAAGTATAATCGCATTAAAATTCCTGGAGAATCTTTCTTAACAATTTTTACTTCTCCACCCATCTTGTTCACCTGCCATTAACATAATTTCAAAAAATGAATTAAGGGCTTTCCAAATGAAATACTTTGTGTAGCTTTGTATTGTGGTATGCATTTATTTAGTTCAGAAATCTTACCAGTGTTCGCACAATGCTTAGTCCAAGACCAGTTCCACCATGCCTGAAAATTGAAAAAGGCTTTAGCAACAAGTTCTCTATCTCAGTTTTCAATTTTTTTATTTATTAATTTCTTATTTTCATTTGATTTGTAGAATAATATATGGTATGGTTTGTAGTTTAACTGTAAAATTCAATGCGATAGTTAAGCTGCCAAATCAACTAGTCCCGAAAATTGATGGCGCTGAAGTGTGCAACCTATACCCGGCCGTTGAGGCAAGTGCTAGGCTCTGATGAGTAGGAGGGCGCGACAGTTGCTGCAAAACCTGGGGCCCGGGCTCAGGCGAAGCGGCAGTCGGTGCATTTTATAAAATCATAAACTCCTATAAAGAGGTTGGATTTGATTAAACTACTTACTTTCGAGTGGTTGAGGCATCAGCTTGTTCAAAACTGTCAAATACAGTTTCCCATTTGGCTGGATCAATTCCTATACAAATTAACAAACAGGTATGAATTATGCAGAACTGGATTATGTTTCTTTTAGAATGCATATAGAAATATCACATTTTTATAAGGTTCATACCACAGCCTGTGTCTTCAATTTCAAACCAAAGAATCATCTTGTTTTCCTTTTTGCAGGTCTTCTTCACATAATTAGTCTGCTGCTTGAACTTCGATCTAAGAGCACACCATGATTTTTTCTGCTCAAGCAGAGACTTCCCGGAATCTTCAAAAGCATTCCAGTTCTCACACCATCCGCGGACAATAACATGACCCGCTGTAACTCATTGGAACAGTTTTTGTGAGAGCTAATTATACTATTAATCCAATGATACTCTAACAATGGCTTGCATTATTATTGTATATTGGCGTTGAAAAGAATTAGCACTTACATTTTGTGAACTTAATAGAGTTGCTAATAAGATTTGAAAATATCTCTACAAATCTAGCAGAGTCGCCTCGGAATGTCTCTGGCATATCATCTAAAAAGAAATGCATCAATGAAAAATGTATCAGAATTCATAATATATGCAAACATTCAAATTTACATTCATATAAATTTCTTTCTCAAAATAAAAATTGAAGTCATACCAGAGAGATCTAAAACTAACTCCACATCCTGGTTTATACACTGCACAGAGTGCATGTCAACAATTCCTTCCAGTTCCTGGCCCAAGTTGAAATCAGCTTCTTCCAAGACCAGCTTTCCAGATTCCACCTGCATAATGTTAGAGGAAACAATAGGAAAATGAGAAATTTCCATAAACACAGTATAGGGGAATAAAGCTCTATGCATGGCTTTAGAACTTTTGCTACTCCGATGTTACAGAATGGTAGTAATCAATATGTTCCTTGAGAAACAAGTAAACGGTAACTTAAACCTCTTAACAAACATTAAGCTGAGACTAATTAAGCATATAGTTGATCAAATGGGGGTTCTTGGCAGTTCATTATTCTTATAATCAGATAAATGCTGAATGCAGTAGACTAATCTTTCTTAATCACCGTATAATAAGCATTTTGTAACTTTTAAAGTTTTGGCTCATCTTAGATGAAAAACTAATAAACAATTTGATATAATAAAGCTGGTAAACGTGGGAAGCTAGTTCGGGTAATTCACCTTGCTCAGGTCCAATATGTTGTTCAGCAGCCTCAGTAGAGCCAAGGAGCATTTCCTTATTTGAGTCAAAGAAGCATAGTGTTCACTGGCAAGGCTTGAATCAGTTATCACGATGTCCAGAAGGCCGATAATGGCCGCCATTGGTGTTCGAAGTTCATGACTGTAAAGCAACATAAGGTGCAAACAAAATGTGTCATATAGGCGTATCTTTAATAGTGTTAAGACAAGTTGAAGATGAAGTTAATTAGGACCTGCTTTAAACCATAATGTGCTATCAGTTCTATTCAAGTTATTCATTATATATGCAAAGTTAAGTCCTTCAAATCATTAAATGTACTATTTAACAGCACTTTATGTGTTATTGAGACTATAAACTGACCTCATGTTTGCTAGGAACTGGCTTTTGTAGTTGTTGGAGGCCTCAGCCCTTCTTCTTGCATCCAAATGACTAATTAGTTCTGCTCTCAATTTCATTTCCTTGGAGACTCCATTTGTCAATATCAAAATGCATAAGCATCCTATGATGAGAATACATACTGATGCAGATATCAAAATAATTAGAGTTTTGAAGGCTCTCTGATCAGCCTTCCCCATTATGTATTCCCGTGGTATAATGATGACACCCACCTTCAAACAGAGGTTAACTCAACTCAGTTTCGTGGTAATAAATATAAATTTTTTATAATTTTTTATAATAAATTAACTACATGGCCAAAACTTACAATGGGCAGTCTCTTCAGGTTCAGAAAGAAGGAGTCTATGTAGTAATCCTCCTTTCCCAGTTTAGCATGCTCAATGTGGACAACGTGGCCAGGAGGAAGCTTATTTCCATAAATCGCCTGCAGCCACCTTGCCCCTTTTCGTATCACATGGTCTTGAGAATCAACAGCCATCACAAGCTCCGGGCCCATTGATGTATTTGCTAACAATGGAGCATTAGTTGACGTGGCTAGCAAGTAACCCTCCTGGGAAGTTAAATATATGTGGCCACTGTGCACTTCTACCAGCTCTTTCATAAGCTGGCCTACACTAGAAAGTGCTGTGGTGACACCCACAACAGCCACAATGCTTTGATTGGAAGGGCCAAAAACTGGTAATGCTGCTGAAAGCAGCGGTGAATCAGTGTACTTGCTAACTGCAACATCCCACGTGGCCGCACCATCAGGCACTTGTGAAAGGCCTGCAATATTGATAAGATCGTCTGCAGGGATAGGCTTTGCTTTGCCAATCTTGATCCCCGTGTTGGGATCAAGTGGTTCTCGATACCAAATGGCAGAAATATTGCCTTTTATGGATTGATCATTCCAACCTTGACGTGAGTACATACCTGCACTGATTGAATAATTTGAGAGATCAGAGTAAATGTAGAATGTGTTGTTACTCCTGTGATCTCTATGGAACGCCTGAACAAAACCATTTCTATAGTTTATGGTTATTGCATTAAGTGCTTTACGGCTTTGAAACAGTGACCATGTTACAGCCTTCATGGTTTCATAGAGCTGACAAGAAATGAAAGTCCAAAAGTTAGATCATTTTAAACTGATTATCAAATTTTAAGGATAAAAGCGGACTACATTTTGCTAACCTCAACTAGTTGTGCCTGAGACGTCGGATTCGCCTGAGTCACCGGACTACTGTATTTTCTCAAGACATACTCAGACAGCTTGACTTGGGCAGTGGTAATTTCAGATGTGGAGTTTAATATGTTCCACATACGCAAGATGGGTCGTTGTAGAAGTTCATAACGGAGCCCATAAGCCAAAGTGTCGAGGGATTTAGTAGTGTAAACTTTAGTGAAATGCCATGTTAGAACAGTTAACATGCCAATCAGAATGGCAAGCATAATCTGCACAAACCCATTACGAGAAAGAAGCAAAGTTAAAATCAAACCAACCAAAGTAGAGATTTTGGGCGTACGTACGAATTCCACAAACCAAAAGTTAGCTCTCTAGACTTTCTTATCATATCAACACATACCATGTAAAAAGAAAAAAACAAAAAGTAAATTTTCCTTCTGTAGAGGTGGGAACCTCATCATAACATATATAGTCTTTTGTAAAGGAAACGTAAAGCCATGATTTTTCGAAACGCTACAGTAGTGTGAGTATATTCATCTCTTCCTTTGTGAACAAGTTCATATAGTTTTACGAAAAATAACTAAAACATATTTCATCTTCAACCTCACCACCACTTCAAGTTGAGTAAACTTTGCCCAGAAACCAGAGAAAGGAGAATTTTTTTTTTTTTTTTTTTTTCAGCAAAAATTTACACATGGGCTGGGCTAGTTCTTTTCAAGCCTTGGTGGTGGGTACGTATGTGATGTTTGTTACATAAATAACACGTATTGCGCACAAAAACTCATACACAGTTGTGCAGTGAAGGTAAAGAAAGCATCTATACAATGGAAACGATGAAAATATTATGAAAAGAAGATTAAAGAAAAGTTTTTTTCACCAACCATGATAGCAAGGCGAACGACAAACACACTGTAGTAAGATGTGAGACAGTGAGTGCTTGCTTGCTGGAAGTCATCCTGTTGGTCAACGGGACACATCCTACGTCCACTTGGTGCCCTCTTCCTCCTGCAACTCAAAGAGCGGGTGAAACCCGTGAGTCTGTGAAGAGCTCTTCTACGAGGAGTGGTCATTATTGGTGAGTCTGGAGTTGCTGAAGTGCGACAGGGTGGTGGAGGAGGAGGAGTGGCCATTGGTGAGTTTGGAGTGGGTGTTGTAATAGTAATTGGTTGGATCTCTAAAGCTTTTTCAGGCATTTTGGTGACTGGGGTAGAATGGTTTTTGGTTTTTATTGTTTCGAAAAGAAGAAAGAACTTTGGAGTGAGAATTTGAAAGCAAAAGAAGAAGAAGAAGAAGATGGTGGAGGAGGAGGAGGTGTCAGGTGAGGGTGTGAAGAGATCTAATGGCCTATTGGAAGTGGTGGGCGGTGTCTAAATAAGTAGTTGGTGGGGGGGTGTTGTGTGTGTATGGGTGATTCGTCATTACCCACTTTGTGAAGGACAAAACCTCATCTTCAATTCAGGTAAATGTTTTCAGAGGTGGACAAGGGCAATTGCAAATGTGCTGTTTTATTCCTCTCCCACAAATATTTTGCCACATCTCCCCATTCCCTTTCCTAAATTCCCTTTCCCATCTTCCATTTTGTGGGCTTACTCTACTATTTTTTTTTTTTTTTTCTTTTTTTCTTTTATCACTGCCTTCAAGAAGATAACAACTTTCATCTTGTGGGATATTTCAGAGATTTAACCTTGATAGTTCTAAGTCTACCCTGAAAATGAAAGGATCACATTAACAGAACAAGAAGCTAGCTAGATTTATTGATGTATTTTAATTATTGCCTCATGATTGTATTAAATTCAGATATTTGGATACACTTTCCTTTTAGCAGTACTACTTTTACTGTAAAATATCGTTTTTTATACCATAAAACATATCAATTCCACTACTGTTTCTGTATAGGATTAATCAAGATAACAGAAAATGAGACATGTTCTTATTTAGGGTTTATAATCCAACTGTGTTGTGCTCAAGGACTTATACCAGCTTTCTGTAGCAGTAAAACCAGTTTGGTCCACCATTTATATATATCCATCCACTTTTGAGTTATACTTGTAAGAATTTCAGTCAAGAACAGAAAAATTCCTGGGCCATATATACTTGCAGAGAGAGTATTGCCATTGGAGGTTTCCTGATCGAGCTGGCAACTTATCAAGAAAATGGGCACGAAAGCAGCTTCATTTTTTTTTTTTTTTGTCAGGAGAATGTAGATCAGAAAAACTATTTACAGTAAGAAAAGAGAAAGAGGTCAATATCAATGTGGTAACTATTTTATGTTACGTAATACGGATGGTGTGTGTATTCAGAATTTTCCAAAATTGAAAGAGGCGACACCCTCGTACCCACAAAGGAGATCTCTCTCTTATAACTTGATGACCAAGCATTTCAGGGCCTGGCCCACTTTCTACTTTGTCTCGTTGGGGACCTTCAACTTATTTCTTAAACTTATTAAAATAACAAAAATTATTTACCATTTTTTGGGCGTGAATATTCATTAACTCTTAATGATATAATTTTTAACAGCTTATTAACAGTTTATCAATGATAAAATGATCTTTATTTTTCAAAAATCTTAAATTTTTAATTTTTTTAATGATCAAGGGTGTTTAGGCCAACTTCTGTGCATCTTAACTAATCTCTCGGGACCTTAAAACTATCGCTAAGTGCTCTAATGGCCACCCTTATTAATAGTCGTGGAGACTCGAATTCGGAAGATTATATTATATCATCTTCTTGCTTTTTTACTATTTACCATCAAAGAGATTCGAACTTAGAAAATCATATTAGATCCTCTTCTTACTCTTTTACTATCAAGGGAATTTGAATTTAGGAGATTATGTTAGATCATCATTTGCTCTTTTATTATCAGCTCAATCAGTGGTGGTTTTAATTTGAAATGTGTATGATGGTTTTTATTTTTTTATTTTTTTATGACCAAGAGTGTCCGGGTCGATTTGTACATACATGAACTAAACCCTTGGATCCTGAAACTACTGATCAGATAAGACTTCTAAGGGCTATCCCTATTAAGGGTCGTAAGGACTCGAACTTAAGAGGTCATGTTAGGTCTTCCTCTTGCTTTTTTACCATTAAAGCCGTGAGAGTTTAAACTCGAAAGATAATATTAGATTCTTCTTTTACTCTTTTATCATTGAGAAAACTCAAATTTACAAGATCATGCTAGATTCTTTTTTGTCCTTTTACTATCAAATCATCATGTTCCGTTCACGATTTAAAGTTTCTAAAAATAGGGAAATCCTATTAAAATTGAAGAGTCTATGTGCAATTCAATAAATCCCCCACAAAAAAAGATGTGGATGTGGGAGGGAAGGATAAATGATCGCAAGATTTAAAGAATCTTTGGTGATAGAGACTAAAGAAATAAAAATCAAGAAACGACAATTACGTGTAAAAACAAAACCATAGTCCTAACTAAGTCACATTTATGTGGTGGTTTGGTGTCGAACTATGAGTAGCAAAATGTCCTGCTCAAACCAAGTCTAAATCAATGAAGATTTTAAAGAATAAAATCGAACCCATGACAGAAAAAGAAAAAGGGTATCCAAAAATCTGAACATAATTTTGATGGGGCAAAAGTGGTGCTGGTAGTTGACACTCAAAATCATCAATTCTTATCCTTAAAAAGGATTAGTTTGCCAATAAAAAAAAAGTTTGCTTACTTCTTTGAATTTTTTTGTTCAAATTTTTGGATATTTTAGACTTATGGGATGTTCAATAGATTCCGAAGATTAATTGAGATACGTACAAACTGATTTAGACACTCAATTATCCAAAAAAAAAAAAAAAAAGAATCGTGAATTCTTGATAAGCAGGCACAAACCAAAATAATAGTAAATGGGAGAGCGTGCGTGGTGGTGGTTCTTCTTCTTCAACCTCTGGCATGAAGGTTTAGTGACTCCAACTCAGTAATCCATAAAAGCTTAAGAATTAATTGAAGGGTGTTATTTAACACCACTTGGTGTTAGGTCTTGGTTCAACTTTAAAGAAACAAGATCATGTCACTTACTCTTAGTGCTCCTTATAATTCTTTTCTCACCCACCAAACTCCCAAAAGATAAAACACTCATAATAATAATAATAAATCCTCAATATTATTATTATTATTATTATTATTCTTTTGGTTCATCGGCATTTTCCATTTGGTAGTGGGTGATTGCTTCTTTAAAGTTTGGAGAGGGTAACTCATAGAATGATTCTTTCTCCTTCAGCATGCAGTTACTTTAACTTTGAATTCGTTTCAGTTCTTGCTTTGAAGATGAGACAATGGACNATTGAAGTAAATTTACGAAGTATTTTATTCACATTTTTTATTTACAAATTTCATGTTACGAGTTTACAAATTTTAAGTTAATGTATTGTTAAAACATTGTATTTAAATGGAACCTAAATTTATGAAATCACGGCAATAATACGATATTACAACCTAGTACGTGGGCTTTCGAAAATATATTTCATTTACTTCTTTTATTTACAAGTTTCATGTCGAGAGTTTACAAATTTTAAATTGATTTATTGTTATAACGTTGTATTAAAACAAAACTAAAATCTATAATATTACGATAAAATTAGAACAACATTTGATAATACAAGCTAATATATAGGTTTTTAATTTAATAATCATCAATTATATAACTTATATACATCTACACATATTGGATTATACATATATTTTAATTAATGATATTAAATAATACTAATAAATTAAATAATTGATTTTGAAATCACGAATACTGGAGTGGACTGTGGACATAAGTAATGAGTCAAATTATTCTGATTTATGTATATTTAATTTAATAGTTTAAATAACCCTTAAATTAGTAAATATTCAATGTATTAAACTTTAATAATTCATGTCTTTAGTTTAATGTTACAAGTTTTAATATAAAAAATTATACATCAAATCCTACTAGTGTAGGTTGGCGTGTAAAGACAATCTCAACCTATAGGGATTTATCTTTTATATAGATAATTATCAATACAAAACAAAAACAATTATTAGTCCATATAAAGAAAGAAGAAAACAAAATGATTTATTTTATAAATAGGGTTTAGGATTCATTTTTATTTTTTAATAATGAGGTGTCAAATCAGTTTATGCGTATCTCAATTAATACTCAAATGACAGAAGTATTATCTTTGTGTCCCACGAGGAATCAAATCTGGAATTATGGATCTCAATGGATTAGCCTGGCGGTTAAGGAGATTTGCACTATTTCTTAAGTTTCTGCGTTCAAACATTGGGATCACCTACCATAATAACATTGTAACTTACCTGGTCTTTTTAGTTTGTAAGGTGTTCAATAGATCCTAGAGATTAGTTGAACTTTGTGCAAGCTGACCTAAACACCTTGGTTACCAAAGTAAAAATCTCGAACTATAGGTTGGACCATTTATAGCATTTTAGTTTGCCCTTACCGCTGGGTTACCATGGGTGGGTTTTAGGGTTTATTTTATTATTCAAAATGAGTAATAAATATAGATAAATGGTGTAACAATTGAAAAAATCATACCACATCAGTTTAAACACAAAAGTTTACGTACTTAGTTTATAAGTATAACATCACTCTACTTTCATATAATCATGGGTGTGTTTCAAATTAAACAACGAATAATGTTATGTGCATTAACCAAAACCCATACAACCCAAGTACTAACTGGCGGATTTCTCTTATTGTCACGTCAGTTCCCCCCAAAAGCTAAAAAAAAAAATTTTAATTTCAACTGTTAGTACTTGATTAGTACAACTTGGTTAATGCAGATAGCATTACTGCCCTAAAGTAAATAGTAATAACCTTACAAGAAAATGGAAATGTACGAATGTTTAAACAATAATTAGGGTTTGAATTTACAAAGGGGCAATCATCATAGCATATGTTGAAGCGCCATGAGATGCGATGGAACATATACAGGGCAATTGTGTACTAATTTTAAATTTGCTGGACCATAATTTCTGGTTTCCCATGTGAGCCCTTTGCAGAATTTACATGATTTTATTATTTCTTTTTAGTACTAGTGCTACTTGATGAAACATCTAGGACATTTTTGCCCTCAAAAATGTTTTTAAAAAACAAAATCTTGAATGTGTTGTATGTTCATCTTTATCAAATGAAAAGCATTTTCCCCCTTTTTATTGAAGAAGCTTTTAGGTTTTATAGCATGATGGAAATTCTAACCCTACATGATTATTATTTGTACGTTCACATATTGGTTATATTCCTACATCCAAATAAATCTATCAAACGATTCATTATAATGTGGTTGAATCTATAATTAAAGTTAACTTGTTTAACTCTACTAAAAGATCTTCCAAATGAAGCATCAAATGACTCACGTCCATACTTTACCGTCTATGACTCTATCGCGCACAATAATGTTTTTTTTTGTAAT